TTTGATCGGACGATAGCATGTGTCAGATCATATTCACCTGGTTCTTATAACGGGTAACTTTTTCACCAGAATTATAGTTCCTAAGCCACTAAATGGAATAGAGGATAAATACTGGCACTCAGAACCTCTTAGTTTTTTCTACAATTCGTTAGATGGCTTACTCTTATAAATGGACTAGACAACTAGACAAACCCGAAGGAATGTTCAACGTTGTCCCGAACAATGGTTCCGCGTTGAGACAAGGCATATTTCTGTCCCCTCATGAAATGTAAACACGCAGTATACGAAAGAGGCAAGTCTTGAACAACGACCGCGATTACTGCCACGGGAGATTTTTAGTAGATGGTCGGTCCGGAAATAAATAACTATTGTCTAATAAGCAAACAATTGCGTTAAACAAGAAAAACCAAAACTTACCCGAAAATTCTCAGGACACATCCTTCTTTATAGTAAAATCATATACGGCGCTACTGTAGATTTTATATCCTGTTCCACCAAAGGCAGCAGAGTGACTTTTGCACTGTTAATAATCCTTACCTTTTCGTACTACGTTTAAATCCGCTGTTTCAGATGAAATTAATAGAAATCACGCATTTCGCTTTAGAGCAAAGGTGACGCACTACTAAATCGAGTAGACGTTCCACTGTGTTTATAATTTTGTGTTGCAAAACAGCTGTACGAACTTGACAGACGACAATAATGTATTGTACACAAATACAGCGAAATGGAAAGCAAATGACATTATTATTGGCCCAAATTCTACTCATGCTAGAATTATGGAAGGATCTGCTTTCTATCAGTAGAACAAATGCTAAAGGAAGACGGTTATAGAGGAATGTCTCCGGATGGACGGCCCATAAAATGTCAATCCCCAATCGTTCCTTTACTGATAAAACGTTGGTCATTTTATAGCTGGTCGCTGAAAACGATAGAAATGAGCATCGGTCAGACGCCAAACAAGTGACCCACCCAGCGTTTTTTTTTTTGTTTAATGAATGACTAACTAATAGGTGTATAGTGCAGCCCACTGAGCCAGCATCAGTCGTATCATTTCAATGGATTATACATTCAACCCCTGCTGCCCAGAAAACAAACCGGTTTATAACTTCAACTAGTGAAACATTTGGCTGGACACTCAGACGGCTAATAAAATGATTGTTTATAATGTTTCTTTAGTGCAACCTTTTCGAATTAATTTTTTAACTATATATTGTGTGAGATTTTTTATTTTGTACTCATCCATATAGTCGGCTATTAGTGAGCCGCTTGAGAGCAATACGAATCGATCGTTTGATAAATACACCTACCGGAAAACTGCTGCTTTGTTACTGTCCAAAATTTTCGACACCGTTGAATATAGTTGCTTCTCCAACGCCTACTTCAGTTACACTTGAATCTACCATTCTGTCATGCAGATTGCGATCGAGTTGAAAATAAGGTCTTCGCTTCAAACATTACCTTAATGTGAATTTCTTGAAGAATTATCTTGAATGAAACACCTGGGGTTACCAAAAATGCGTTACCACTCTCATGTAGACTTCTTCCGGCACGTTACCGAGGCCAGAAGCTACATGGCAACCTTACGCTTGGTTTTGAAGTAGCATTAAAATCAATTTCAAATTACGATTCAATGATAAAAGGCCCAGGGTTCTGAGTTCTGCAATATTAGGCATATACCTTATTGGTGGTAATACGAGGCCTGTACAAAGTATCCATCCATAATCTCCACAAAAAACCCGGCGAAAGCCAGCGATTTGGAAGGGCTCAGTAATGGTTTCAAGAGGGGACTTTTAGGTATCGTTCACACCATAATACTAGCTCTCTTTAACCTTCAGTTTCTTAATCATCGAACGAAGCTACAAATATGTTATGTGCCTGATCCACTCAACGGCAAATGGTACCTTGATAGTCAACCAGGTCTAGACTCAGGACGTTCGGAAATAGTTTCTTGCCCAGCTGTCTGTGTGGTTAATTACATAATGCTTCTGTATATGAACTCTATGAACAGAACGCATCAAGTATGTTCTTTAGCTCGTAGTAGTGTTGGAAGCTACATATGGAGAACGTTCTAACGTTCCATAGCTGCTATAGGCTATTGTTGACTTTCATTAAAAACAGAAATAGGCAAATCGAGTAAACTACTTTGTTGCTGATATTTTTTAGTTACCTGCGTAGAAGCCACAGCGATGCAATCGAACTTTTCTGTCACGCAGTGCTCCCATGCAACGCACGCACGGAAGTACACAAACAACATCACTAGTGTGAGCTTTTAGAAACACGACCATTGGGTAGTACGAACAATTTTTGACAATCACTATTATCAATATTCATGTAAGTACTACTTACCGAGTACTACTATCACTATAATTCATACCGTAACAAACAAGAAAACGAAACGAGATTTCCTCCACTCACCGGAATAACAGTTTATCGTAGACAGAATACGATCCACTTCTCACTCAAATTTGATTACTGATCCAGAATTCGCGAACAGTCGTAGACATTAGCAAGGGATGATACCGACGCAAAATCCCCACCATTCCTATTTCTGGTGCTGCTGCACTAGACACAGACAGCTCCTATCTGCTTCTAATACCACCATCGGCCTGATCAGAAGTCGTCATCCAACCTGAAACGCCACGGTTTCTCGGGCACGATAACCACTCCCAATCCAGCTCTAACTGACTATAACTGATATCACCGTCAGCACAATTATGTCGCGTGCTGCCTCATCTCAGTTTGCTGTGGCACTCCAGTAGGAGTTTTGTTGTGCTGCCTTTCTGAGATCTCGTGCTGATAATGCCGACGACAGTTTCTACCGAAGGCTTCTTATTTTTGACCTCAGACAAACTATGGTAATGGCAATTGTGGCGACTAGCTCGGGCTAGGACGTTCTATTGCACGACTAGGAATCGTCATATTTCGTCCCATTCAGGGATAGGCACGCACCGTGACCGCGACAGACTTCTATCTAGATATATTTGTTCTGTTCTAAATGAAAGGACACTACCACACCACGCACTAGTCCGCTACTAACTCAGATTGCAAACACTCCATACGAATTATAATGGCCTACCTAACCCAGTCCCCAGTGCCGACTAATAGTATTGGCTCTACCGTTCTCGAGGTAGACACCACACCTCTCGTGTGCTTCAACTCAGACTTCTTTATCGCTGGCGCTCCGGCAGCGGCACCAGTGGTTCCAGTGAGACTAACAGCTGCGTACGAGCCATACATCAGTAGCAACGACGGCAGCCACGACGAGTCGGACTGCTTCTATTTCTATGAGCGCTGCTTGCTTCATAGTTGACGATTCTCCCGCGGTGCTGTGTTGTGGCGCTGTTGTCGGCTTTCTATTTTTCATAGTATTTTGCCTGTGGGCCGTGCTAACTGGTTCGTCGATGATGCAGGTTGAAAGACGGCCCGTGGTGGGGTTATATTGTAGTTCTAGAATAGTGCGTGAGGAGAAAAGCGCGCAGCTTCTGGTGATATCTGTCCCATATAGTCTTGTGGATGAAACCGCTGGGGGACTCCTGGGTGGATTCTGTAGATCGTCTTCTGCCCATTGGTCAATTATCGACATGATACTGAGAAATATCCAGAAAAGCTCTGCGAACAACGCAAGGAAAAGAAAGAGTATCTAAGATGGACAAACATAAAAATAAAGGGTATTATTGAATGGCTTTCTGTGACTTGAGTTACAGAAACGCAATAGATTCTGTCTAAGCGAGTAGGTGTAAAGTTAAGAACAGAACTAGGATATCAGAATTACAATCAAAGTTGGAGGCGATTGAGCTCGGTTGGCAGACTAGAAAATGTGAGTTGGCGCCAGCGAAATTAGTCTACTGCTAAGTCGCTTTAGTTTCGAAACTGCTTGAAAATAGGCTAAATTTGTTAGCAGCTTTACAATGCTAGGTGTGCATTAATTTAAATGTGTCGTTTATGGGTTTGGAGCCAAATAAACGTTTCGGTTTTTGCGTCTGGAACTGACGCGGTATTTTATCCTAAGACTCTCTTGCAGTACGTAATCTTTACTCTAATAGATTTAGCATTTATGTAGCCCATTTCTCAACGCTGCACTACATTGCATCTTTGTTACTTAAGTTAAACTAAATTACCTGATTCAACGGTTGCAATCGTAATATGTTTTTACAGAGAAATGAAAATGTTTATTCTATTAGAAGGCCTACGTAAAATGCTATAGCTTGTTTATAAAATACGCACTTTAGATTACGTCATGCGCTTATCTGAAGACTTCCGCATTTTGTTCAAAAATATGGTGTTTTCCATTGAGTAAAAAATGCGCGGAAACGTTTCCAACCGAATAGTACCATTCTCTTTCGAATATACATTAGATTAAATACGGTATGATATTAAGTAGTCTGAAGCAAATAGGGCACGTAGGGTGGACTAAGTTCATAACCGGAAGTCGATATACTTTGTTTCGTGCTACTGGAAGAGGCTTCCGAAGCAATGTTAGACTAATATAATACCGCAATTCATTAAAGTATGTTAATGCGTACACAGCAAATGTCATTTTAGCACCTCGGATATAGTTAGGCGTCTGTGTTGCGCGTGATCCGTATCAACAGAGCGACAAAGTCAGCGTATTGACATAAAACCGATTCCACTGAACCAAACGTGACTCGACAACAGCTAATTAGTGAGCATGTTGTTTAATGAAGCACGACATCACCAGCAAGCATGAAATATTTCGGTATGCAGTGATACTTATTTTAGGTGCTCAGACCTTCAGTCGGGACCCTTCATTAAGCTAAAAATTGAACCTAAAACTATTGTATTTGGTAAAAATAACCAAACAGTAATTAGCTACGTCAAGTAGAATAAGCACATTTCCTTAAGATCATTCCGATCAAAAACTGGTCCACAGCCCCAGACCGCCTTTATGCCCCTTACCCGCCGTTAACTGTATCATTTTTCCATCATCTGCTATCCACCTGGGTTTTAACGTCTGTCTGGGTTTCTCTGTCGGAGTGGCCACAAGTGCTGGCACACCATACGATCACACTGTTGCTATTGGCTACTCGGCGCTGAATACTTAAGCGACCATCTGTTCTATATCGAGTTCTCGAATTCGCTTGGCCTATCAGTCGTAGCAATATCCACAGAGCGAGAAGAGTCTCGTCCAAGGGCCAATAAAATGTCTAAGGTTTCATTTAAAATTACGCTCACATCGGATCCAAAACTACCGTTTAAAGTGCTTAGTGTCCCGACACAGACGCCGTTTACAGCAGTGTTGAAGTTCGCAGCGGAAGAATTCAAAGTAAAGTATAGGCCTATTGCATGAGAAGCAGAGAAGGCCACTCGCTATAAATCATATCGCATAATACCCAATATCAGTCGATACTAACGGATATGCATGTAACGATAGTGAAATTTTGCATGTACATAGGTGTGCAACAGAAGTGACGTCTAGAAAGGACTTTTAAGCTGTTTTGGTTTACATGTCGACAGATGTCCGTGGGAAACAGACCATACTGAAATTTGCCAAATTACATTTAATTCGATAGTATTTAGTCAGGCTAGAGTGGAGAGATGTCTTTCAATCGTTCGACAACCCCGAGAGGAATCTGTAAACGAAATTATCATTTCTATAATATAGTATGTTTCTGATAACTTCTGTGACATATTTGTAGATGGTGTGTAACTTCCGCTAAAATTAATGTAATTAACAAAAGTAACAAATTCATTAGTAATACAACCTAGTCCAGAATCTTAGGTCTATTCAATAATCAATATAGTCAACACCTTAGCCAATACTATCGATCGATTGTTAGACGATTGAAAATTACATTTTTTGTTAAATTGCATTCAGATGTCTAACCCTGCTATGAATTAAGGTATATTCGAACAATTTTAGGAACTGCAATTACTAGTCGTATATGTTATAACATTACTATAATGTGCTTACAGAATTCTTTCTGGATAGGCCTACAGAAAAAAAAATTATACAGTAACAGAAATCCAAGGATATTCTAAAAAAAAAAAAAAAAAATCGTATATAGTAAATTGAAATTATATCATAAACTTTTCTGACATGATTGTAAGGCTGCTCAAATCTTTTGTACTTATGTTCAACGTCGATTTATGTCGATCAATTAGGTATTGATACAACCTAATTAATATTAATCTCTCTGCGTCTCTCTCATTTATTGCTATTTCATAATTAAGACGTTTGTTTGAATGTTACTAATGGCTCTCAATTTTCCTTATTTTTTTGAAATGACGGTACGTTGATAATTGCTTGTTGCGTTATATAGAGCATGTGTTATCCCACCAATTTGAATTCGCATTTGTACGGATATTCGCATATGTAAACAATAGAAACAAACAAAGACACAAAGGCAAATAACCTTTTTACAACAAACCAGAAACGGGATCGAACAGTACTCAAACAATGACATCGTGAGTCGAAACGCATTCGAGCTATTGACGGCGTGCGTCAAGCACCGATTAAAATGTCAATCTTCATTTTTACCCTACGTCATCTCAAATTGAAACGTACCTTACTGAAACTAAAATTCTCCCAATTCGTTTCTCATTAGAGCGTCAATCTAATGAATGTTACAAATTTAATGTCCGCTGCTATTATCTTAGCGAAGTATTGCTTCATACGACTGGCCCTCATCAGGACACGAAGTGAGAATCAGTCAGTAAGTTTATATATACTCAATCAATTTTACTTTAATCCGTTTCCCTTTTTCAGGTTCCTCCTGCAACATCAGCGATTATCACCGATGACGGTATAGGCATCAACCCCGCGAACACTGCCGGGGACGTATTTCTCAAACACGGCTCAGAGCTTCGGCTTATCCCCAGAGACCGAGTGGGCTCGCGGAGATTGCAATTTATTTGAAGAATATAAATTTCAATTGAAAAAAATTATTTTCTTGGTGCTTAAAATAAACGTTTAGAAGATGTTGTTTTTATATGCTCTTTATTTGTTAGTTCAGTGCTTAAAATGACTCGTTCATTTGAGTTGAAGGAGAAAGACCGAGGAGATTTGATGTCGTCAAGTAGTTAGCTGTTGGGCCGGTTGTAAATGTACATATATGGCAGAAACGCAATTTAAGATAAGGGTTAGATAGTGGAATGGTGATTTGAAATGGTTTTGATATTTAGAAATTATTGTGTGCAATAATGATAAAAATAAGAAAATAATTCTTGCGTGTAACCAACTCGTTTTGATAATGCTATGTTTTTTTCCATGCCTCCTCAAAGGTCTCTTCCCCATCGAATCACTCAAACCGCCTGCCCAGCGAATACCTATAGAGGAACATATTTAGATACTAATCAATCTTCAAATTTAAAAATCTGTACCCGAAATGTCTTAAAATTCAACAAATATTTAACAATGAAGACTCCACAATTTGGCCATGATCTTTTAATTATAATTTCACTTCTATATTTACACGTCACATACAAGGTCGACACTCAATTGGTAGAGCGCGGCACGAATGACTGCACCTTTATCTACTTCCATCTGCCTGAGTCGAGGCAATAAATATTCTCTAAACAGTTAAGTTATCCTTACGCAAAAAAACTAGAAATTAACTTTATTCAGTCGTTTATTTACAGGCTCAGCGATCACCTAACCAAAGAGGGTCACAATGATCTATCACAACAATTCGATTATAGGTCACCTCCATCAATTCTTACTTAATTTAGCTTATGTGGCAAGTAGTATTGTTATCGAAAAAACCGTTTACATGCATTTACGATATGCATCTTCAAAGGAACCTTCATCATTTACATTAAAATAAACTCGACATCACAATGAAAAATGCTAGGATGTATACAAACAAGTATAGTGCACTGGATCGAACTGCTCTGTGGTGTAATCGACAATCTTGTATGCCTATAATCTTACCCACAAATACACATCTCTTTACTCTTATTTTTGTGTATTCACGCGTGTGATTGATTCCTAAGCGAACCACTGGCGACCAAGAGATTAGTTGCGCCTCCTGCGAGTTCGCGAGATCCTCCAAGCGTTTGGCTCTTCGTATTTGTTATAAAGCGGCTCGAGGCGGAGGTTCTTTTTGTGTTTCGACAGCTTTGTTGGGTCGGCAAACCGGAAGAAGGAGCTAGCAAACTCGACGAGCCATTTCGGATCAATAGTTGTTACCTGCAGAAGTTGACAAGAATGTCGTAGAATTTGATGAATACCTGTGTGGCTTGGGCGTGCATATGTTCACTCCAATGTGTATATGTGAGAAGTAAATAATTATATTAATAAAGCAGAAGCAGATTAGAACAAAATTGGGTACGCCCGAACAACGTTCCGGCGTTCACCGCTTGCGTGGAGGCTGTCTAAAGGTTCAGAAAGATCTGTTGTTAATTCGTACACAACGTGGTATTAAAAAAAGAGGTAAAACTAATATACTTCAAACCTGAACCTACCTCCCGCATGTACTCCTTGGCAGTGAGGACCACTTCATGATACACAACCCACTCGGGCTGTCGGTTGAACAAAGCGCTGCTTGGATGTATGTACACGACCTGAACGAGCAACATAATGAGAGCCCTTAATAATTGTTTACCAAATGAACGCTCGTTAAACTTTTCGTACTAACAAGAAACCGTTATCCGTAAAAGAAATCGATTCTGTTAATTCTTATTAGTTCGTTAATTATGTTTTTATATCTTATGACCTGGTTTCGAATTCGTTGCTTTAAATCTACTTCAGTAGTGCGTTTTCTACTTCCAGTCAACCCTTAGTGCACATAGTTAGTAAACAACACATCTACCAACCTGTCCGTCAACGAGCGTTCTGTATCCTTCCTGCGGATCTTTTTTGGCAGCGTTTCGGAAAAAGCCTGAACAAATAGCCCTCTGTACTCGAGCAATATTTTTGTCACAGGAAACAACATCTAACTTATGTCGATCCATGATACCCAACAGCTGTTTACGGACGTCCTGGGCTCGTTTAAGGGTTCTAGTGTCGGAAAAACAGGTAAATGAAAAAATCACTAAAATCTTTGCACAGAACAGTGTGAGCTTGGAGATGTTTTCTTGCACTAAATAAAGTACAGTTAAATACAATTATTTACTTTATTAACAACTTACAAGTATAAAACTACATCAATTTGCATGTGGAGCAGAGACTCTCTGGTTTTAAGTTCTACTCCATCCCGCGGGCATCTACAGTAATAAGAATTTGATGATTCGGACAAGAATACAGGAATAACTTACTGCTTTCGGTTCGTTCTTAGAAGAAAAAAACGGAAAATAAAATATACTGTCTCAAAATAGCTGCATCGATTAGTCGATAACATATAAGTGGAAAGCTATCTAGTTTAACCAGTACTTGGCGACGTGAGGGACCGTACCTCATCTGTACAAAGTTATCATAGCACCAGGCCGAGCTGAACTTCGAATTCTTCCATGAGTTGTACACTGCTAGCAGTGTGAGGTGATCACCTTCGGCCTGATTGAATTTGGCTTTCTTCTGGTCAGCCATATTTTGCTTGTCTTTTGGTCGGTAGAATACGTTTTGCACGGACAGCATTGAGACAATGGTCAGAATCTCGTCTGAACATGCCAAATGTACTGACATAATCAAAAGTTTACCCAGCTGCGGGCTCAGAGGGAACTCAGCCATTCTAGAATGGTAGAAGCATAAAAACAATAAGAACATATTGCCTATTAGACTCGATTAGTGTTTCAATAAAATAATTATAATAATACTTTTTAAAACCCAAATTTTACATACTGAATTAAAGTCAGACTTTATTTTCTGTACGCATTTATATATAATGAGCGAGGTTTTACCTATAATATAGCATGCAATTGAACGAAAAAGCACATAGCATAGCGTTTCATTTACCTTCGTCCAAGTCTCGTGAGCAAGCCTTCATCGTCTAAGGCTCCAAGCGAGTGAAGTTGTTCAAGCGCCATAATCAACGCCTCAGGTGGCGGGGCATCCATAAAGTCAAACGACAGGAGATCGTTGATGCCCATTGCCTTTAGTTGCAACACCGTAATGGCCAAATCCATTCGCTGAATTTCAGGTACTGGAGTGGTTAGCATTTCGTCCCGATAGGCGCGCTCCGTATAGAGTCGATAGCATTTGCCTGGTCCCGTGCGGCCTGCGCGGCCTGCCCGCTGTTTTGCTTGAGCTTGAGATATGGGCGTCACGACAAGCGAGTCCATACCAGTCTTCGGATTATAAACGTTCTGTTTAACAAAACCGGGGTCCACCACATAATAGATACCATCGATGGTTAGCGATGTCTCAGCAATATTTGTGGCGATAATGACTTTACGCGAGCCAGCAGGGGCAGGCTCGAAAATTCGAGTCTGCATTTCAGATGGCAGCGCCGAGTACACGGGCAGGATGATGAGTTCGGGGACCTGAGGGTTTATAGAAAAGAATCTAAGAAATGTTCTATAATAGGTACATTGAAAGTAGTGAAGGACAATGCCGTTCTTTATGTTAAAAGTGATGAGATAAGATATGAGTTTTGAACCTGCGTAGGCATACGAAATATCGGATGCTTGTTATGTCATCAAATTTGTTGTTATGTCGTCAACTTGTAGCCAGCTTGTTTGAATTATACCAGTTTTTATTTTTCACTTGCTAGCTAAATTGTATATATAAGAATGCTTGGTTATGAACCAACAAGGTTGTAGCAAGATTTTCTTTACTGAAGAATTAAGAAACCTGAGGTCCAAGGGCCTTCATACGCTCATAAAGAATTTCGCAGGCTGTATCGATTTCTTCTTGACCAGTCAGGAATACAAGGATATCTCCGGGAGGTTCTGTCAGATGAATCTGCATCACTGTAATTAACGATGCATCCAGATAATCTGTTTCTGGCTCCTTTGTATACAACACCTATATATACTCAAAGACAGCAAACATATTAAAACAGCGAAAACTTTTAGCACTTTCTATATAAATTCGAACATATTGTATTTACATGAAAAAATCATTGTAATATGAACTAATGGATGCAAATTGCTCGTCCGCATGCTATGAAGAGAAATTAATACCAAACAGTGTTGTAGATTACCTACTCTATGATACGATTTAATTCCTGCATATACTATACGAAAGGTGTAAATAAATAAAGAAATATATTAATAATATTTCCGCTACCAAAATATTCTTTTTTATGCGAAGTGCCTACTGTATCGGTATTTATCATTTCGTCCAATTCATCCTTTTTTGCTTTCGTTCGAGCTGTCATGAATTACCTCGACAGGGAAGGTCCGTCCGGGGATGGTGAAAATAGGCGCCTCAAAGAAATACGACGAAAATTTCACAGCGTCTAGAGTGGCCGACGTGACAATCAGCTTCAGCTCAGGGCGTCTCTGTATCGCTCCTTTGAGTAAACCTATATAGAGAGTTAAGGATTGCTTACACAAGCTAATATTTCATCGTATATAGACTGCTTCTCCAATAGAGTTACGGATTTGCCTTACGTATTACAACTATATAAGAGAGTTTCGATATAGAAAAGAAACATCACATTTATAGCCTATTCTACTAATCGCTACAAAGAGCAAACAAAGTAAAAAATACCTCCGTGTGTCAGAAGAGGATTATCCAGAACTACTTAGCCAACTCACCAAACAGCACGTCCGTATGAATAGTCCGTTCATGAGCTTCGTCAAGCATAAGCAACGAATATTGGCTTAGATCGTTGTCGATGAGGCATTCACGCAATAACATACCATCTGTCATGTACTTCACTAAGGTTTCCGGTGAGGTACAGTCCTCAAAGCGGATCGTATAACCCACCTCTTGTCCGAGGCGGCAACCGAACTCTTCTGATACACGTTTTGCTACTGACATGGCAGCCACCTATTTGCAATATGAACAACGATGACAGGTAATTAATCCACATACGTTCAATATATGCGTGTGTAACATACGTGTACATAAAATTCTAAAATTTTCATTTGCAATTGTGCATTTGGTTTATTTACGAACTATTCGGTAAGGGTGTCAAAATGAATTTCCAATCACACCTTTTTCAGACGTAAAGAAGGATTCAATGCATGTTTTTATCTTTTGACCGTTTAAGTGATGACGTCGAAGCAAAAGGACCCATTTTCGCGCCTATTGTTGTGACTACCCATTAAAAAACTGCAGTTTTTTTCGCCAAGAGTTTTTAAAAAACTATTGTACTAGAACAAACATTTTAAGGATGAACAGCCACAATAAGATAGCAGCCAGTATAAAATCCAGCTCAACTAGTATTGGGTATACTCACTCGACGTGGTTGGGTGCATCCAATTTTCCCGCGAGCAGTAAATCCCGCTTCGGCTAAATATTGCGTAATTTGGGTCGTCTTTCCCGAACCGGTTTCACCTGACACATAGACATGCAGTAAGTTGAATCGTTAACCAATTCCTAGACATCTAATACACAGGTACGCTTGTTGAAAGACGTGTGATGAGAAATACATCAACATATCGCCATTAAGACATCCCTCAGTCACTTCTAATAGACATGAATATACCTGGTAGGACAATTCGCAGCTCCTACTACCATAACATTTTACAAGGTTTTATGCTAAATATCCATGTTTTAGGCTCACTATTTTTTACTGTTGGGCATAACTTGAACCTTGCTAGCTCTCTGACAAGATTCATCGATTTTCCCACCAAAGCGTACATATGTTTAGTTCACATACCAATAACAATAAGTATTTGGTTATCGGAGACGGCCTTAATGAGTTCATCCTTGAGTTTGTAGATTGGCAGTGACTGACGCTGTTCCAAAATACTCATGTTTGTTCGCTTTCCGAATGTGGCTTTACCTCCAGCAGTAACAGCTTTCTTCCATTCGGGAAGGTCCTGCGAACCGGCCGGGGCTGTCAAGGACAACATGATGTAAAAGAGAGATTTAAAAGCATCGTAATTACGATCACGTTACACGAGACACCTAATCAGCCTTTAGGATGAACTACACTTTAGGATTCGAATTCAACCATGAGTATGTTCAAGTAGCTTCGTATGTGACTGACCCGAAATTTGGCCACTTGAGTATTAATTAAGTAAAAACTAAATAGATGTCATCGACTTTAATTAATTCTAGAAAAACTACCATAAATCGCATGGTCGCTTTTGAAAATCTCAAGCCTGCCAATAATTTACCTGCTCTAGCAGCACTTGGAAGTGTTCTTTGACCACCCTCAATCTCAGGCATTGGGTCTATCCATTGTCGCTTAACGTTTTCAGGCGCAGCTTCCATTTCAGCTTCGCGGGCCTGTTGCTTTAGCTGGAGAATGCACAAGAGAAAAAGGCCGTCAACGAGATCTATGGAGTAGCAGTCATTCAATAATTTAATATACTCCTACAAAAAATAACCTAGTTGTTATTTATGTTTTCATTCCATTGACTACTTAATTGATGACTTCACAGTGGAAATTGGAGAAGAAAATATGAGTACCAATGTGAGTACAGGTTGCGCTTTGTTTTCTTGTTTTAGTATAATGTTAGTACTTACCTCACGACGTTCTTTAGCCAAAGCCGTTTGCATCATGGCAGCTTGCGCCAGCGATCCATCGGGATTTTTCACAATGCGTACAGGATCGAGATCATGGAGCGATTGCCTCCCGTGTCCCGCCAAAAAAGCTGGCTCTTCTTCGACCAATTCGATCTCAATGTCCTCCCCATCGGAATCATCTTTCGGTAGCAAGCCCGTTACCTCATCGAAATCAGGTAATTGAGATTTATCGATGCAGTTTGCCGCTAGCATCTGTTGCAACTCCCAGCGTTCGGGCGATGAAATTCTACAGGGTATTAAATAACGTACCACAAGAGTTCGGTCATCGCTGCTCTCTTCAGAGACGTTTATGAATACGTTAAAACAAACCGGTTGAAAAATGTCTTAAACTTTGACTAATTAAAGGTATATAGCAACGACATTCACACCAATAGTTAACAAGTTGTATATCTACACCACGTTAGATTTATCCACCACATTGTACTGTTCAAATGTTACTTCGTCAACTGTCTACAATGAAGTCATTTTCAGCGTTGTTGAAATGAGTTCAACTAACTTGTTGAACTTCCGCTTGTTGTCGACATCCTGATCGACGTCCTCCAGACGTCCGAAGCCTTCGAAGCCCCGGCTACTTGGACCAGGACAGCTGCTGTCTGCATCCGCAGTATCCTCCACAACCCTAATTACCCGGTCGTCTACGGGGTTTAGATCTTCTCCGGTTGCTTGATCAACGTCTTTCATTGATAGCGCCGTTTTACTACCGGTCACTGACAGAACCTAAAATCGCACAAAGTAAAACCAGAATAGCAAGACAATTAGGCTGACTAAGTTGTTTGTGAAAGAAACTGCTCTATTCCAAAAGTTGCAAACAAGCCTTTTGCTTCACCAGGCAGAGTTAACTGCCACTCGCCAAGAGCAATATTAAAATAGACATTTGAACAAATAGGAACTAGTAGCTATATTTAATCGATTTTGCATTTGGTAGCATCTAATTTCTAATATCGACCTCGAAAGATTGTGACCAGGTAACCCACGGAAAATAGCTGCGTAAATTAAGCTTGCCTGCATTAGATGAAGTAATCATCTTATGATTGTGATATATCAGCTGCCGTATTTCGGCATTAAATGTTACGAAGCACACGATGATCTTACTGGAACATTCAATACCGTATTTGAAACGCTTTCTAACAGATAGCTGTAACCCATTTTGTAAAGCGGAATGGTTTAGTTTGGCAAGAAAAGCCCGTTTAAGGGTTGTACAGCTTTATCATTTTTTAATCATTATTTTTCAACTTCTCGTTCTATACAACAAGGTTCTATACAAATGAACCTTAAGTAATATGCAACTACGGTGCCTAAGAGCGATCTTCCTTCAAATTTTAGATACAATCTCTTTGAGAAGAAACTTCTATAAGCCCGTTTAATTTATTGATACAAAATGTACTAGATCAATCCTTACGGCAAGAAGAACTATATGTAGCCATAACAATAATTAAGATAAAAAACAAAGAAAATCATTATAGCATCTAGACGATATCAATACATTAGGAATATTTCGTAACGTTGATGTCTCGCACCTTAACTTTTACAGGCTGGCCTCGCTGTACGACTTCAGTAACCTCAGTAACTCGACCCTCCTTTCGGAGCTGCGAAATATGCACCAATCCTTCACACTTGCCCCGAACTCCATCTAGCGATACGAAACAGCCAAATTTCATTATAGACGCTACTTTTCCATTGTATATTTTATTTGGTACTGGTTTTTCATCCAACATAGGTCGCCTGTTTGGGGGTCCACTTCCTGATGGACGTTCCCTAGAATGCGACGATTCCCGTTTGTTCTCTCGAGATCGTCGACGTTCCCTAGACCGCTTTATTCGACGGTCTCTAGATCGCTCCCGAGAGCGTCCTCTCGAACGCCCCTTATCCCGAGAGCGGCTGCGATGCCGACGTATCTCTCGGGATGAATCATCTCTGGATCGCTTTTCATCGTGCTTCCGGTCAGACGATCGAGATCTGCCTCGTTTACGATCACGGGATTCATTCCGTGACCGAGATCGCTTTTTGCGCCCTTCCGACGGCCGAGATTTAGAACGGAACCTATAGTAAGAAGAAAACAGAATTAGTATTTTCAATTAGAGAAATTGACAAAAGTATTAATATTGATAATATTATGTTCAATAGGAATAACGTACATGCTTTATATGAGTATATTTTTTACAATATAAAACTGTGCTTACAAACGCTATTAGCTTGCATACGTACCCTTTCTGCTCGATTTTAATTTCTTCTGACGGCGCCAAGGCCTCGAGTTCGGCTAGGGCGTCTTGAGCGATTTTTAAATCGTTTGAATCGTTTTCCTCGAATGTTCGAGATCTAATATTATTTGGAATCGACAATCCTGGATATTTCTTGCGCTTGTCCTGCGAACGGCGTTTGCAATAGAAGAATAGGTTAGCCAGATCCAAATCAGCGTTTTTCAATTTATGCTGTGTATGTCTTAGAGCTTTCCGCTGTACACACACACGCTGAGCACAGGTAAGATGCCATGCTAGTGATTTTAGTATGCCAACCTTCTCGATCTATAGGAGAATTCGGACCTGAACAGTCCTTGTATTTTGTAACGCGCAAACACTCTAATGGTCTATTAGTCAGCATATATACCTCATCATCAAATACAGTTGCTACAGCTTCGAAGCCATCGTTTTTTGACGCTTCCTTCATTCGAGTAATTATACGATGAAGATTCTGTGTAAATGACTCGGGAAAATCGCCACCACCATTTTCACAGAGGACTCTACGGAAGTCCTTGTACCTGCGGTTCATAACATAATAGGAATCGAATTAAGGAGTTAAGGTGTGAAACATGTTATTGAATAGTCAAAATAGCATATATGTCAAGGAGAACCATTAGCTAAGTAACGTAAATGAGAAACGAAGTACTACATCGTGGGGGACAGAGAAAAGATTCGTGAACAGAATGAGCATCGATCCGCCCAATTTTACTGCGAGTTCATTAGCAAAAAACGTTGACGCTGCTGATGACTATTTATTTGGCACCCCACTCCAAAATGCCTATATTAATTAATTGCGCTGGAAAAAAGATTGCTATTTTTGGCCGCTATTTGTAATACAAACAGTTCACAACGTTAACCACCCACATACCGATCGACGAAAAGAGTATATTTGACTATAGTTTAAAGCTATGATTTCACGACTGAGGAACTTTCCACTCCGATTGAGGGTATTTCTCTTTTATTCATCCTAGTAATTGAGGCGACAAAACTGGAAAGTAGTTTAATTAAGATGTTTTGATATTTGGCAAATCCTAAGAGAACCGCTTGTCTCCTGTTGCATCATGCGATGGCGTAACATATACTGAGTATAATCCAAAGTCAATTTAGCATGAACTTTTGTTTCACTACAACCTACGACATTATAGTATAAGGCACGAACAAATAGCGCTCTTTGGCGCATAGACCAACACAGCTGGATCAACAACAATTTGCGAAATCGCCGAAGGATAAATAATTAGTTCAACTTTCATAGACTTACCCTTCGTGTTTTTCTGCCAAGTGAATGATGAACTCTGCCAGATCTTTATCGGCTAACCCCAGATGATTGTCTAATTCCGTGCAAATTTTTGACACGAGGGAAAGATGCTCGAGCTTTCTAAGTTCTTCCATTCTTTTAAACACGCTACAGTAACTGTCACCCTATGAACTGATATATAAAAATATATACAGTATAAGAAAATTATTTCATAATGGGAAACATTTTTTATGTGGTTGCCGCTTGTCTTCACTGTTCACAAAATGCGCACACTTAAATTACGCCTACACCATCCAGACTAGCCTGACTGTTTTTTCATCCTTTTTGTGACCCTACAGTCAACCCAGAATTTAGTCCACTAAATAAATTAGCTTATTGTCTATCGATGTCCAAGCACAGCGGTCCTTTAATTGTCGTTGTGAAATGAAACCCCGATAGTGAACAAGTTCGAATGTATATCTAACAAATTGGTAGAATTTGTAGCAATAGCGACTCATCGAAGTTGGTGTGTTTGTAAATCCAAACACGAAACCACTTGAGCCTGTAATTGTTGTTGGGCCTGTGTATGTTTGGAAAACTGCTGCGGTAAAGGCGCCAAAATTTGAATCCCTTAAGAATATTCGACAGCTGTACTAAAAATTAGACATTTCAAAATAGTGAAAAAGCGTCCCCCACGGTTTCTACCACTGACTTCCTTAAAATGTTTAGTATGACTGGGGCCTGTAGGTGCTCGAGGGTTGTGACTGCGTTGGAAGAGCCTGATTTTGACAACTGCCGACAGCAATACTAATTTGAACAATGTGGAAAGTGACTCAATTCCCACTTTCGTCTGAATATGGCTATATCAAAACTGATCAGGTGTTTCTTGGTTGGAAACAGATTCTTGCATACTGCAATGGCTCACTGAAAGACCTCGTGTCAGGTGCGACAAGCTGTTGCCAAAGAAGTTTCACATCAAGTGCGCGTTCGAGTTGTACCCTGAGCTTTTACACTGGCATGCTTTTCATTGTGGTCTTCTCTTCTTAAAAAAGAACATAAATCTGGCTTGTGCAATAGGACGCCTCTTTTATTTAAAATAGAGAAAGGGCACACCAAGTACATTGTCCTAAGAGAGTTTAACTCCGGAGTACTTCTTACATCAGTTCTTTCAGAAATTCCTTGTGGCCCGTACGTTGTTGATTATTTCTCATGTTATGTTTGTTTCCAGGCATCGAAATATTCAAGGGATCGCTTGATGACTGCAGTTTGTCGAGGGATTACTGTGCTTTCGTGGAGCTTGCACGATGTCGAATAATTGGGTTATATGACAAATCCGTTGTTGATGTCCCCATTAGTAACGTCCAACAGGTGAATTTAATATACATTAATATAAACTAGAAATATATATATATATAATAAGACATAACAATATGTTATGTCTTTTCAATTCCATAGAATCTCTGTCGTACTATGTTCACCTGCATCGATCACCCATTTGGATTGATGCGAAAAATAATCTGCTGTACCCATATTTTGTTTTCTATTTAACATACAGTTTTTACAGCAAAATCCTTGCTCTTTGAAGTCATTGTCTGGAAATTCTTCATACTCTGCTTACCAGTCTTAATGTCTTTCTACACCCTGGCAGGTCCTTCTTATTTATATCTTATGTGCTTGTTCGATTTATGAGAACCCTTTAGGTTTCGATGTTGGAACGCGATCGTGTCGCTCTGCGAACTCAGACTGATGTCGCAATCTACGATCTAAAGGCCAAGTCTATGATTAAGTCGTGGCCTTTACGTTGTTCCCAAATTTCAGCTGGATTCGACCACCTGCTAGCACTAACCAGCGACGGAGCTGTATACTGCTGGGGAGATGGTTTTCGAGGTCAACAGGGATCGGGTGAATTGGTCTCATCGGAAGACCTTGTTCCTGTAGAGGCGCTTGAGGAGGTGAACATTGTCGAAGTTGCTGCTGGGGGTTGGCATTGTTCCGCCCTTTCACAGCGCGGTTTTATGTACCAGTGGGGATGGAATCAGCATAACCAGATAGACGGGCCTTTAGAAAAAGACCACCGTTTAATACGAAGCGGCGGAAAGCAAACTGTCATTGCGTCTCCTACGCTCCAGAACACAGGTGATCAGCGAGTCATCGCTGTGGCATGCGGAAGTCGGCATTCAGTAGCACTGGATAAATGCGGACGCATTCTAACCTGGGGGTGGAACGAGTATGGCCAATGTGACTTAAACAACCTTCCGTTACAAAAAGCATCCACAGAAAAAAATATTTCAACAGACAATGACAAGACGTCTAGCTTCAGCGATGACGGGACAAATGTTGGTGTCTGCGGAGATCAAAGTCGTATGGAAAGGCGACGTGAAACTAAGTTTGTATGCAACAATGATACAGAAAGGAACGAAAATGTTCGCAAAGCCAAGCGCATCCGGGCCGCATTCTGGACAACGGCCGTTCAGTACTAAGAATTGCAATAAAACTAGTAATGGAGGATATAGCATATTGAGTGCAATAATTTGGGTGCAGATATGCATCGTAATAATGAACATATTCGTTGAAACTTCTGTAAACGTAAGACTCAGTACTTAACCTTTTTCTTAACCTAACCAGATTCCGATATTCGCATAACCTGTGAGGCATGACATGTTAATAATTGTAAATAACGTTTTTGTTTCACGATACGATTAGGGGACAATTATTTAAAATGAATGAAGACGATTGTTCATTGATGATTACTCAGGATCTTTAGCAGCTGTGAACTATTGTCTGCGGCATCTAATTGTTGCTATATCAATTTTTCCATAGAAAGTTGAAGATAAAATAAAAACATTCAATTTCACAGTTACTTTTTTCATACGAAAAAGGTGCAATGCCTTTAGGCGTCCTCCAAATAGAAAATCTGGAAAAGTTTTATTTTCTATTTGGAGTTTTGATTACAAGCGCTCTCCGCTTTGTAAAGCTTAGACTATTGGTCTGCCTTACTACCCACTAAGCCTCGTAAACTAAATAGGCTTTTTGTACAAGGTTAGCGAAAAATTATGTGCCTATGATTATACAAACTTCACACTTTATCACCAAGTCTTGGTATATATTTAATATTATTTCAAACAACATGGTATCTAAACTATTTGAAGGCTTCTTTATATTACTGGAGGAGCGCATTGTATTCTTACAGTTGACTCTCACGTGTGAATTTTTAAATAAACGCGTGGTTTTTATTATTCTGAAGATCCAAGTTACTGATCTTAAAACTTCACTATTACGACCAGGTATTACATAGTGTGCTATAAAAGCTAGCATCCTTGTTAATAAATGCGGACCTTATCTATCATACTTACTACGGAAACATTAAACATTGCTTATAATAAGAACTTTCATGGCCATGTTTAGAAAGCGAAAGCTGATGCCACGCATTAGCCTAAATTTTATGTTGAAGAAGTACTTTTGCAAACGAATTTGGCCACGTTTTTTTTTTTCTTTTGAGATACCATAAATTTATTCAGCAGGACCAATTTAGATTATAGAGTCAGGCGCAACAAATTGTCCGGAAGTGAGCTCCTCAATAGAATACTTTAGTAAAATCATTTTAAAATTCATTTAAGAGGCACCACTTGTGTTAAACCAGCATTGTAGCGATGCTGCCTTTGCGTCAAAGGATCTGTAATTAACTTTTTAGAAAACGAGACAAACAGTGAGGTAAGACCCGTGACATACGATATTACAATAACTAAGAATATTAGCTACTTCGTAGTACAGAGTGTAAAATATTGTAATAATATCTTTAAGTATGTCAAAAACCAATTTTTAACTTGTTTAACTTTACCAAGATATGCTAACGTTTAATCAGTGCCGCACATTTTATGCCTATAACATTTTACATAAATTCTTATCAATGCGAGGGGAATTATGCATAATGGCATTGTTAAGGAATCAATCCGGATCAAAAATATTAAAAGACACAGTTTATTTCAGCAACCCGGCGTGATTATAGAGTCTTTATACTTTACCGTGTAGGCAACTTTTGACATTTTCCAAGTCAATTCACCGACGCTTTTAACTTCTAAGTCACATACTTGACAAAAACTTTCGCCGTCGATTCTTTTATTTTTGGATGCCCGAATTACATATCCGACTTTCGTGCGCGCTACAGCGCACGCTTCCGTATACGCGCTTCTCTAAAGAAGGATCGAACTTAGGCCATCAGGGCACATCTTTTCGTGCACAAAAAACACGGGATTCTTTATCGTTCATTTTTACTTGGCAGACTTATAGTTCACGACGTCGGATCGTATCTCATCTATGAGGATGACGTAATAAACCACTTAGATATTGATCACCCGTGATAGCTTCTGTATTCTGTTGAGTAAAACGTCGCCGTGCTTAATGGTCGCCTGATACTGGTAATTCTTGCTATCAGGTCGATTGGTCTCGACGATACCGTTAACTTTGTCTATTTTACAATGGAGACGGCCTGCGGCAATAAATCGAGCCAACTCTCTGAAACATCAAAAAAGGAATAGAGAAACAATTAGAATCAAAGCGGATGCGATGAAAAAAATTTGTGACTCCAAATAATCAATAATATTTAAGCACTTTCAAAGATTAAGATTTTAAAGATTTTTTTTTGCTCTCAAGACTCTTGGAAAAAAAGCCCCGAAAGTGCACACTGAGATTCGTGGACTCGTTTTTGGCTGACTACAGTCCATTATGGATCGACCCATTTGCGACGTAAAGACGTCAAAATACAAAAGGTTAAAAACCAAGTAAAATCGTAGAGGGGAAAGAACGGCAGACTACGAGTGGTAACTAGAACGAAAAAGGCCATATTTTTATATCCGTATGTAATAAACAATCTTCCTAACAACTGATCACAATACAACACGTACACGTAATGACAAACATTATTACTGTCCTCTAGAAACTTTTCATCGAATAATCATTCTATTTGGTTATCTACCTTTTGGGTTAAAGGCAAAACGTAAGTAATATGCACTGCTCTCCCTACAGATACTTACTGATCAACAAAATTCACAGATACACCGAACGCTTGTGCCATGTATTGTAATGTCAAGGATCGATAGCTTTCAAGCAGTTGGGTATATGCAAGGATGCGCATTTCACGTGCGTAGAATCTGTAGTGAGCACTTAGAACGCGGTCACGTTTCATCATTCCTTCAACCATCGCTATACACAGAGATTAATCAAGATCAGGAAAATCAGAGTAAATTACTTTGGCGTATGCGACTTTGTTGTACTATAAACACACAGAAAAATTGATGAAATGCCTCTATCTTAGTGACTTTTCACTACTCTAATAATTAAATTCGGTTATCGATAGCTCTATATAGTATATCTATGTTGTATTACCAGCACGAATACAGGTAGGACCCCCTTTTTTTTTATTTCTGGTTGTAATTACAGCAGCAGCGGTGTATTAGAAACATTTACCAAGTCTACGGAAGAAGGTTGCATATTGACATTGATACAGCGAGAAGAGATACTCTTTGATGTCAGGCAGCCCATGTAAAACTTCCAGAATTTCTGACCCTCGAATGACTTTTTCCCGAAGCTGAGTCCGACCGAGTGCTAGTATCGTTGAAAGTACTGTGTACGTGACGAACTGCTTGTAATCCATGAGTTCGTAGCAGGTGAACGTCGACACGGTGTCTAAGAAAAGGCTAGCCGCTGTCTTGAAATCCCGGATCGCTAACGAGTAGAATGCCTGGTACACCTGTAAATATGGATCACAATTAATATGGCTAAAACTCGATCCAATTCTTGATTGCCATCAACAAAACGAAAACCACATTTAGGCCTATTTTATATCATTCCAAGGTGAAAGTAATGGGGCAGTGTTGATGTAGTAGAATAAATTTTCTGCTCATTAGTATTTGGAGGATTATCAATTTTCGACACCGGCAATTCGTTTTGCATTCTACTGTATATGATTATGTGTATTTGAACAGAAAAAAACGCCCAAAAAAATCAGTATTGGAGTCGAACGAAGTCGAACAAAGTCAATGTGATCACGCAGACAAATTTTGCTTACTTTGAGTCTGTTTCGGCGATCCCAGTCGCCACCTTCCTCGATGAGGGCTTTGGCCTTGTCAATATTCCGTGTAACAAGATCGTGGTCCAAATAGAAAAGGCCAACACGGATCTGGTGGAATAGGAGGTCCAATTTATGACCAACGGAGACAGATTTCTCGAAGGTTTTGCGGAATTGTGTTAGCGTTGCCTCCTTGTCACCTGCCAACACGTGCGAAAGGATAATATCGAGAACGTCGAGTTCGACAATATTGAAAGAAATAAAGACACACTAAGTCACAAACAAATTGAATAAACGCTCGAGCTGAAAATTATAACAAAAAAGCTATAGTGATTTAAGAGCACTACCTAGTAAGAATTAGACGAAGAATTGTTCCAGCCTCGCTGTTTAAGCATAGAAAGAGAAATAATATACCAAAATATTTAGCCCTTTTAATAGGTCAACGCTAAACTTGGAATTCACCAATAATTATTATATATGTAAATCGAACGAATATTAATAAACAAGGAGGTATTTACCAATTCGTGAAAGGTATTCAGCCTTTCGCAGATTTGCCTCACGGACTTCCATTTCACCAAGGTTCTTCTCCGCATCAGCTATGGCTCCGTCCAGTTTTTCCAATTGGGCCTTGTTAGCCTGCTTTAATTTATCCATCAGCTTGTTTTCTACAGGCCAGCCTAGGTCGCGGCAACACTGCTCGTAGAACGGCGCCATGTCTAATATAATGAGAGGTAAACAAACAATATATACAAGTATTGTTGTAGTATTAATCATTATAAATGTTTTAAAAAGAACATTTCTGTTAAACGTAAACACTAAATATTAGAGGAGCGTAAATGACTGATAGTTCGTAAACGACTAAAAATACTTTTACTTAAAACACGAAAAGGCCCAGTTATGAAAAAATTAAATTGTTCCTTTGTCTTGTTTACGATCATAATCTGTTATATTGCCGTAGCTTTTTCTCGTTTGAATATATGCACATATCTATTTCGATGTTAACTTTTTTTTATTGACATTTACACTTCCTGTCGAAAGGCAATGCAAGATATCCACGTTCGGTAACCAAATTGTATCTTTGAATAACTAAAACAACATTAACACGGCATACCTAATTAATTTTCCAAAATTTTTAATCACTGTGCTCGCCATCGAAACTTTTGGAGCAGTACAATTAAATTTGAAACGAGAAATACAACATTCTTATACAAGCTTACGGTTGACAGCTACTTTATGTATCCACTAGCACTAGTTTCGATCGAGAAAAAAAAACTAAAACCAGCCTGAATAAACCACTATATGCAAAACAATTCACTCACAATGAAATCAGGAAGAGCTTATCAATAAGTTCAGTCAGACGTGTTATGTTACTCAGATCATTATTTTTATTGTGTCTGCCATTATTATTTCATATGAAGTCCAAGCACTGACGGCGTAATACGAAATAACCATGGTGGGAAAAGTTTTGGGTAAGTCTTACCGTCTTTGTTGATGGCGTCGAGTAGATCCTGTTTGAGTTTCTGATTCGCCGGTTCGTGATATTGCAGACTGTATTTCCATTGTGCTAAGTCCAAGTTAGGGTTCTTTTCTAACGACTCATCTTGAAGATTCTCAGCCGGCATCGTAGCTTCTCTCTTGAGATGCTCGTACGAGAGCGGTCAGCCAACTGAAGTAAATCGTCTTTGATCCGTAGTAGCAGATCGTTAAATCGCACAGAATAACACTCGCACCTGTACACGCCGAACACACGACTTTGTCCGCTAATCAAGCCACTCGCATAAGATCCCCAGTCGCTTTTTAAGCCAGCCGGTTGTATTGTATATGGGGATTCGACGGGTATTTTACACTATCATATCGACAATTCATCGATTGGTTGATAGTCGACGTGAGTTGCTAGATCGGACCAAAACAATGCTGCAGACGAGTGCGCAAAACTTGGCATATGCACACGTCGTCTGCATTCGTTAACAGAAATCTTTTCTGCTAGAAAAAATAAATGCTGTCTGCACTCTTTTAAAGAAAACTAGGATCACAGGTCACAGTGGAGCGCCAAGCCGGCTTGTGCTATTAGTATCAACACGTTCGGTGGTGCCGCGCAGTTTCAGTAATTAGAGTAATAACAAAACTTGAAGAGGGACGACAAACGGGCGAAGTATGCACTGAAAAAAGTTGTCGTTTCGTCAAGCGCTTCGTCACTGTGAAAGACAGAATAAAGTAATAATTTTCGTAGGAAGAAATCGTCAAACAGGCGGAAGAAGTCAGCAAGCAATTCTAGGTAAGTTAAACAAATTCTATTTGGTTCTGTGTTCGGCTGCAACGACTAAAGTGAGCTTTTTACTAACGAATACAGGCAAACGGTGTGGCAAATGGAATCAGGGTGTCTTTACACGCTGATTTGTGTGTCGCAATTCATCGACTTGTTGATTGTGTTCGGATATCTTAAAGTTAAGAAAGGGTTATAATCACATGTGTTTAGCTTAATGTATATAGGTTTCGCATGAAGTCTCCAGTTTAGTATTTGTTATGCACATAAATGCTAGTTGCATGATTATCTGTGAAATTAGCTACACCGCTCTTGTGGTATTGGAAAATCGAATGAATATGACTCAAACGAACATATTTGATTGGCAAGAAAGTACTTGTTTTTTCAAAAAAAAAAAAAGGGAAAATATTTTTTACGCACGCGTAGACGGTTAGGAGGCTGTTTCCAGTTCCGTTTCAAAGGTTTCGCCTGCTATGCTGGACTCCAGGCAAATGTAAAATCCCCCCTAACGGATGGTTTAATCCATTCATGATGCTAACCATCATGGCTAAAGCTATGGTCTAGTAAAGAAATCGTTGTGTAACCTTACATGGAGCGATTGACCAGAAACTTCTGCCGCGCAGGTTTTGGACACTGTTTACCCCGCTTCCTATCCTTAACCTTCATAATTCTTATCATGCGCTCAAGAAGAAACCTTGAACTTGAGTTTTTTTTCGTTCACTGGTATCCTTCTGACCCTCTGTTTGTTTTTGGCTGAACTCGCTACCTTGGCAGTCTAGTGTTTTCTGCGACGAAACCATGAAGACGAAGAAGCTTTATATTCAACATTGCACTTTCTATTATTTACACGCAGGAAAAAGTACCGTGGAGACAATAAGACTTAATCGTGAAATAGAAAGGGAGGATGCCGTATTGCAACCAATTTGTCAAAACTGATTTCTACTCTTCAGAGCCGGAGATTTCGATTCAAGCGATAAGGCACACTCGGGGCGAGCACTGAAAGCGATCGATATCTAATAGCAGCGTTTACGCAATGCGACTTCAGAATAGTCAGCTAAAGAATTTTCTGTGAAGTTGGGGGTTAGCCCAAGCACTGTTTCAGATCGTCAGCATGCATTAAAGATTGGCTCCAAGAACAAAGGGTGGGTTTCCACAGGAACCCAATAGAGATACATTTAACAATCCACTTATAGCATCTTTACATATACTTCCTCATGCATGCACATATCGTTGTTTGCTTCCTAGAAACCAGCAGCATTATCATAAGTATATGGAAAATTGGATAGTTCTTTTATGTTATTAATCTAATATTATAACAATCTACAGCTGACAATATGTTAAGGAAGGCTATTTTTGTTGAGGAAGAATATTTTTATTCCCCAAAGTGAAGCTCTAGAACAATGGGCTTTATCAGCTAATCCAACGTCGATGAAAATCTTTTAGGTGCGTGTTGATTTGCCGGTTTATTTTAAATATCATTATTTACTTAAATATACAGACTTCGGTGACTTCAGAGTATCAGTTGTATGAAACACTTGCGCTTACCAAAGAAGTGGTGTTTTCATTTAGTGAAACTTAGGTAGTCAGCAACATCACTGAAGTGCGATCTCTCTTAGCGTTGCTATTTAAATCAGGCGTTATACACATGTAATGAATGCAATATACGTACATGTTCAGGGTGTTTCTTTATGTGTTTTTTAATTATCTTGCCTGCTTTTCTACGCCACATTTTTCTATTTGTTTTTTCTGTCTTCTCTCCTGTTTCTGCACAAGCCTTAATAATGACCGATAACTCTAACAAGCAACTCTACAGTGTCAACTTTATAAAATATAGAATCAAAATAGATTATCCACTATTGTAATGATGTCAACTTTTTTTTTTGAATTGATATTATAATCATGGTTATTCCGCCATTTTCCATCAAATAGGCTAGCTACATTCAAGATTTGATACTATAAAGCGACAATTTCGAGTAACTGCACGGCTTAAATATTTAATTAAGTTTCCTCCATAATTTTTTTGCCAGTAGTCAGACGCTTCATATTCATTGGTTAACAGTACAACGTCACATAATATCGTATTGTATATCTAAATGATAAGTACACTCAGTATGCTTTCTAGAAATATTTGAACGTCGTTTCCCCAGATAGACATTCTCCAAAGCGTGTTTGATAGGTTAATGTAAATTTAGTCAACAGTGATGATGCAGAATATGCCTAGACTTGAAATATTCAAGCATATGTATATATTATTACTGACCTAAATAATCAAACGTGTCCTCTCTCTGAGGCACTTTACTCAGAAACGCTTTCCGAATGCTTAGTGGTTTATGCCTGACAGACTCATTTTTACTGGCACCTACCCCGTTTAACGTTAGCCGCTAACGTGCCACAATCCTGCACTCTTGTATCGTTCCACCTGATGCTGTCCTGGTCCTGCTTGCATCCCTCTCGCAGAATAAATGGCATCGTCTACAGCGGCATTGGTGGTTGCCTCAACTGACGAGGAGCCCGCGGCTCCCTGTGGAAGCTGTGGGGTGCGGCTTGGACTTCTCACCCCACGTCTCGCTTGTCGGGCTGACTCATGTCGGGGCGTAGTTATCTGTATTCAGTGCTTCGCCCGTGGCAGCGAATTCGGCCAACATCGAAATTACCACCCATACGCCGTTTTTGACGCCCAGTTACCACTGCTGAGCTGGGACTGGAGCGGTGCCGACGAGGTTCGCTTGCTGGAGGCGATCGAAACTTGCGGCCTGGGCAATTGGTCAGACGTGGCGAAGATTGTCGGTGGTGGTAAAACCGCAAAAGACTGTCGGGCTCACTACGCAAGGTACTACATATATGGAAATTATCTAACTGCTACAATCGCATGCAACTTGAAGACGAATCGAGTCTTTAAATTAGACGAGATTAATACAGGAGAGAATGTTGCTGACAGCTACTTAGGTACATCAAGTGTGACCTATACGAGTACAATTGGCAGAGCACCCCGACCAGAACTCGGCAGCGTTGGACAGTCAGAAGATTTCGCTGGCTATTTTCCGGCTCGCGGTGACTTCTTCGACGAAATTGATCCACAAGCGGAAGCGTTGTTGGCGTCTGTATCATTCAGGGCCGATGACAGTAAGGGTGAGGGGTTGGACGATATCGATCACGAAGCTCAGATGGCGCTGGTTGAAGGGTACCGGCGCCGAATCATTGCAAGAGAGCGTGTTAAGGATGTTGTCGCTCAGCATGGCCTCTTAAGCAGAGCCCAAAACACTGAATGGGAGTCAAGGTATTTTAGAGATCTTGGTGAGATCACGGTTCGTTCACTGCTCCCCATGGTAAATATTCTATCGCCTGATGACATGCTCGCATTTTTTGAATCACTAGCTCTGGCCGAACAGCTGAAGCGACGTGTCTGTAGGCTTCACGATGCCCGTTCAAATGGCCTCAAGACCCAGCGTGAAATCACCCAATTTGAGCGATTGAATCAGTTACGTCAACGCAGCTATACGAAGCCTTCGCAATGCAAAGAAGTCCTACGTAGCAGCAAGGACGCAAACAGCCTGCGGAGACTTTTACTACGGCGGCAGCGTGATACCGCTGTTGAGGCCAGTGCCAGCATGATTGGTATGGGGAAAACTAATCGGCGCCCCAAGAAGCCACCTCCCAGTCCTCTAACGATTGAACATCTGCAAGGATTCTTCAAGCTGAGTCAGGCTGAAAGGGAATTTTGCTCGAATTCAAGGCTGTTTCCATCGACTTATCTCGGGCTCAAATCTCAGTTGGTTTCTGAATGCCAGCGAAACGATGGGCTGCGTTTGTCTCGAGCTCGAACTTTGTGCAACATCGACGTGAATAAAACGAAAAGATTATATCATTTCCTGCTTTCCCAAGAACTTATACACGAATAGGATATTAATGCCTTTGCTAATAGTACTTGTTGTCATGTAACAAACAAGAATGCCAATGTCAATTTGTTTTGCTATATGTCTTACATATGTATATATATATATATATATATATATATTACTGTATAAATAAACATTGGTATTGCAAATTATATTGGAGGGCGGCATTTATGTGAAGGAGCCAAATATTTGTCAGCATGTCCGGTATTAAACGTAAGGTTTGTGTCCTGTGAAATCTTCAAGTGTGGAAAAAGACCAAATCTATGTCGGCAGTTTTGATGCCATACGGATCAGCTGAAAAGGTCAGCTTGTCGCACTGCACCTAAGTAGCAAAGCTAGGGTAGGAAATAGAATACGAGTTTATATAGCAAAACGGAAAGTTGGTTAAATGTAAAGAAAATATGGTACAAACAAGAACTATTCGATGCCCGACATTTCTATACGCGCCTTGGGGGCTAAATGGAACGTGGAGATAATTGTCATTGGCTGGATTGTTGGCAAAGACTTTAAATACCAGCTTCACACCATTATGACAGTTTTTTAACAGCTCAGGGGCTATCGATACATGTAAATAGTATGTAAGCACATAAGATTACACGCTCGCAGAACTTTTCACTTTTCTTTCAGTGTAGAGATTAATAAGAAGAAGTTTAATAAAATGGTCATTATTTATTAACAAACAGGAATGTGTTTTAAATTTTTATTGAGGTTTTGACACAACTATTTTACATTCAGCTCATTAAAGGCATTCATAAAAGTATACGGTAGATATTTACTTTTATGAATAAGTAGGCCGAATATGTCATTTCGGGTTAGAGTACATCGTTACTGCTTTACAAGAGAGGTTTGTTAGGCATCTACTAAGCAGACCTTAAACGACCTATTAAGGATCCATTATGACATTCCTCTACTTTGTATCTAAAATTTTGTAAAATCTATGTGGTACAACTGAGAACGAATTGCTTGCTTTTTCGTACGAATTCAACTCCGTTTAATTATTTGGAAAGCAATTTTAAAAAAGATAATATCGTTTTCAATAAATGATGTTTGAGGCGTTTATTTATTAAACATATATATGTAGAAGTGTTATAAAAAATCCATGAAATAGCCCGAGTAATTGCTAGCATTTCCGTTTCACAGTTGTTATTATCTAATTTAAAAATACCCATATTTTTATAGCTACAAGATATAGGAAATTAACCGTCACATATTCTGCACTCAAGTTTTACTATTGGGAAAGAAATACCTCATACTCGAAGAACTGTGCATGTTTGATATTTTCGGTTCCTGATATTTTGGGATAGGTAGAAGCATTCATGAAATTCTGTACTCGTTTAATACGACATCAAAGCGCATGAATGTATGCCGATTAGTCATACAGATGTTGGGTCGACAGATTATGTGTCTTTATAAAAAATAGTCTACATCTTTGCATATAAGAGCCCGTACCTCAATGTAGAACTCAGTGCCTAGTATCTAAATTGGTGTTCTGCTTTTTGCAATCGATCTTTAGTGCCTTAAATCAGTGTCGGTTTTCGAGATGGTTGCCGGCCCATTCCGGCAGCACGAAATAGACCTTGCCGCTAAGTGCCTCTAAGTTCAATATGCAAAGACATTATCACTGCCTTCTCACTGAGAGATAAAGGTTTTAATAAAGCTTACAAGAATGGTGCTCCTAGCAATATTGCACATAGAGTAATTTAAATATTATAGATGAGCAATCTTTGTTATTGTTTGTATAGTTTGATATATACCCTTCCAATTATCTCTCCTTTTACATTGTACTTAAATGTTGGTTATCAGCTACTTAGTACCTATAGTGTGTTGCTGTTATTTTTGAGAATTTCTCCTAATAGCTGAAAGCCTTAGCGAGTACATCTTGTCCGCATTTAAATTCAGTTTTCTTATATATTGTCTTATATATGCGCACTTTTGTGATTCGTTTCTTTAGCATGGGTCGTCCTCGAAAAAAGGAGCCGAAAGGTGGTGGGGAAAAGCCATTAGTTGAAGCTAATACCCGCCAATTGAAAGCCAACGCGGCTAACATTAGAAAGCGAACTGGTCGTTCCAGAGCAGCGGCGTCAGCCGCCGCTGCCTCAGAACTTTCCAACCATTCAGAAGAGATTAAAACTGAGCCGAAGTTTAGTGCCGCCGCGTCTCATGGAGGTGTCCGCGTCATTATTGAACACTGGTGCGTTGCATACATTTGTTTTGTTACTCACTATTTTCCGTGTTTCAATTTTCTGCACCTAGTTACACATATAGTTTTTGTTGACGGTGAGATTGGATCTACTAACCCTTGACCTTTCAACCGGAGATTTAGCTATTTAAACTATAAGAAGAGAACTCTGTACTATTGACACCGTTAGCACACAATGATACTGGACTGCTCAGCAGGAAATTGTAAGCTTTATCCATTGCTTCGCCTCTCTAATTTTTCCCGCGCTGATGACCGACTGCTATACGCGATCGGACAGTTTTTTTTTTTCTGCAGCGCTAGGCCGTTACTATCGAAATGGTGAAGAAGAAATGACATTTTTTTGCCGATGCCAAAGAGAGAGAGAAGTAAGCCAAGCCAGTAAATTGACTCCGCAGACCTCTTCAAACCTGAAAAGTTAAATGAATTCCGTTTTCTAAGAAGAAGATACCATAAGCATAACAAGTCACTTCCCAGTTGTGTTCTTGGCTATAGAGTCATCATTGTATACACCACACCTAGCCAGATTTTGACTTCTTACTGCCAACGGTATGCAACACTCAACCGTCAGCAAACAAAGAACAAGTAAAGCAAGGAAGAAAACACCGTTAGTTTTTGAATAACTCAATATATTGTATTTGAAGCGCGAACGATTCAACAGAGCTGCATGAGACTATATGAGTTACTGGCGTAATTAAAGAAGGTATTATCTAGAGTGTTTTGCCACAAGGCATGAAGTCTAATAATGCCGCCCAAACAAAAGCTTTTATATGTGAATGTAGCTGCGGGAAAGATCTAATCAGATGGCCTTAAACATTCTCCTTCAGTTAACATATCCCTACCTGCTAATCATGGCCGCAGACTTTAACATTTCATTGATTAGTTTCAAAATGTCATTTATCGATATGTTATTTTCGAATTGTACGATGCATCATTTTGTTTCGTTTAGGATTTGTACAAATCGGTATCGGTTGTGATGCATCAATGTTATCGAGCATCCTTTAATATGTTTCTTTATATTACTAGCCATTTCTTTTTTTTCTTGGCTTCTATTCTAGTCGTTCCTGACAGGTCTACAGGCGCCACGCCATGGCGCTCAAGGAAGCCTTGATTGCGGCGTTTCCCAACGAGTTATCGGAAGAGAGCTTTACGATCAACGCTGAGAAGCCACGCACGAAAAGTTTCGAGTTTACTCTTGTTTGTGCTGACGGATCTGAAGAGGTTGTGTGGAGTGGCCTTAAACTTGGTCCGCCCCGATCTTTGAAGTTCCCGAGCAAGGAACAGATTGTGGAGATATTCACAAATAAGATTGGAAAGTAGGCTGGATATTTAGCTGATTGGTATGTTTTAGGGCTCTGTGAATGGATTTCCATTAGCAAGCATCAACTCTTCTTAATCCTTTTCATTTGTAATTTTCTTTTTTAGCTAGAAATACTGCGTGTGATATGGCTTCACTTGATTTACTGATATTTTAGTTAGGCTAACTAATACTAGCGCATTACGTGGAAACAGATTCGTCTTAGCCATTAGTGCCCTTGGACAAAGTGGTAGGCAGAATATTTTCCAGCCGGGCATAGAAATAGGACCGTGCAGGCTTCGTCACGTTTAAAAAATTTGAAGCATTTTTATGCAAAAATAACGTGTCTCATAAGCGTTCACGGTTATATTATTCATTATAAATAGTATTATTCAACTCACATGACTAATTCCTGCTCGTATAAACATGGCGGTATTGCATAGCGCAAGCTGACCTCAGTTTATATAAAGTACAGCGTCCTTATGAAATATCTCATTCAACAGCACGAGATCTCTTCCCGCTTTGGTCGTAATTTGATTTCTAGAATAATTCAACTTAACTAAAATACATAAACACACAATAGCGTATATTTTTATTCCATTTGGTATTCTTTAGATTGGATATTGACACGTAAATATGTCGAAAAGAGAAACAAGAGGTAATGTTTCGTAATGCATTTACGGGCTCAAAAATATTTTTTTTACTATAGTATCAAGTGACCACATATAACACCTTTAAAATGTAATGATGGTCGTGGTCCTCTTATTTAATTATTAATATTAATTATATAGGTGTCATCGTGCTGCGAGCGAGTTCCCTTTGGAGTAGGCATGAAGGACGTTGGCCGTACGATTTTCAGTGAAGGAAAATCTCTCAGCGAACCGATCAGAAGGAACTTTTTCCAAAAGTCGAAGCGGTTTATGACGAGACTGAGGTAAACCTGTCATAAAGGGCCTCAGTCTTTGATGACCCCCCGCAACGATCAGCGGACTTAGATTCCGTCAAAAACCTTGCCACCCTTCATGTTAGCTAGCACCCTAAAAACAAAAATTTACTGATAAGATACACACTACATTCTTTTCTTAACCACTATATATCACATTCACCATGCAGCTTTACGAAAAGATGACAGCTATTCACTGAGCTTTGATTATAAGCCATCACACAAACGACGTATCAACCCTGCCCCTAAGATAAAGCAATGTCGGCCTAAATAGAATCACCTAGATATACCAGCGATCGAGTATCGAATCATAGCTACTAATGAACGATCCCCCTACTAGATTATTCGCCTATGTTATTTCGTTTTAACGTTTTGTAAAACAATTTGAAAAATATGCATAATAAATGAAAGCTTTTGTTTCTTTGCGCGACACGTCCAGTGTTTAGTAATCGGATTAGTTGTCTTTATTGACGAATGATTGAAGGCTCTAGAAAAATTTCAGGGACACTGATTGATAAATGATAAGCGAAAATAACGTCACTTGACATAGGGAAATAATAAAAATAACATATGAACGCGTGCTATACTAGTGGTTGTACGGACCTAACGAACTACCTTCAATCGATTGTAGTGAGTTTTGACGATAATACTTAGAAAAGAGTATTAGTTTGTAGTAGAAACAATAGCAATATTTAATATTTTTTCCATTTCCTAGAAAATATAGTAACCAGTCCCAGACGACGCTTAGATCTAAGCGCACCAGAAGTTCTATCTATACAAGCACTATTCTCTAGTTTGGCCTCTGACAGGACTTTTCTACCAACGCAGTCCGGCTATTCCAGATGATACCGAGATGTGTATAATTAGTGTCAATGCGGCTGTTGGTGTATTTCGTGACGTGATCAAGGCCCTCGACTATCCTGATCATGCGTGTATTGTCTAGCGCTTGTTCGCCCTTAGATCTTTTGCCGGTAGTTGTTCCTAGTTTTCGAGTAATTTACCCGCTAAACTTATCGGAGTCAACATTTCGGGAGTTATATTTGTCCTTGGGCAACCTTTGAAAAGCGTCAGGCAGCTTCAATCCTAGATCCTGCTTCATATTTTTTAATAATCTCTTTTTCGTAACGAACCCCTGCATCTCTAACGGAATCTTTCACTAATGACACCGTAATATTAAACACTGTTACCAATAATTTAGCCCTGACATAGTGTCATTTCTCCACTATACTCAATGTCTACAGCTCCTTCCAATATTTCCAAAGGCGTAACAGTTTTGCTTAAGCAATTAAGTTCCTCGCAATCCTTACTCAGTCAGTTTAATCTGGCGATACCGGTTCCCTAATTAGTCTCGTCTAACACTGCAGTTTCTCTTGACAGTCCTATATTATTCACTGTCTTACTAAATAGCTCCATTTTATTTATCCCACTCTCCCCCTCCCCCCACAGACTTTTTCGGCCAAAATACCAATGTTGAAGACTAAAATGACCAACTTACGATAATTTGTGATTTTTCCTCCAATTTTCTTAAAAGAAAAAACTCATTACTATACCATATATATATGTAATCAACTATCTCCTTGACGTGTACTCGTGCCATTGGTTACCCTCACTTATAATATACTTATATAGGAACCTACAGTAAGTAACGTCCCCTTTTCCTACTTTCCAGCTAATTAGTAATGCTATTGTTATGATTTCCATTAATTTAATAATTATGTTTCTCAATCAAAAGCCACTAAATATTAGACATTTTAGACCGGGAGCTTCGCGTATTTTACCTACTCACGTCATTAATAAAGGAAGGTCTAAAGTCTATCGAATCCGTCTTTGATGCTGAAACGATAGCTCGTCCTGAGTAGCGTGCAAACACATGGCAATAACAGTGAAGACAGGAGTTTCGTCTTTGGAAGATATATTTTTTAATATTATACTTTTTAAAATGAATAAAGTCTTATCATAATTTTCCGTTGTTACCCAAAGCCCACACTACCCAGAGCATTCAGATTCAAACTTGTTTTTAATGGCGGCGCGCTGTTTCACAAATGCGTTCATTCAATACCAGTTTCTCCAGATGAAAACTCCTTTTGAAAGTGATGTAAACAACCTTACAACCATGGCGAAAAAAAATACTCCATCACCGGAGCATGAGCGAAGATTAGCTATTCTTCAGTGTCTCCATGCTGGACGAACTCCGGCTGCAATTATAAACTTTCTTGGTTACCCGCAATCGACGGTATATCGCATCGCATCGAAGTATTGGGCTGCAAAAGATGAAAAAGTAGGTATGAGCACAGCACAGAGGAAAGCCCACGACAGACAAAAAACAGCCAGGACTCCAGAGTTAATCGATGCGGTTCAAAAATGCATTTCTAATGATCGGTCTATTTCGATCAGGGCGTTAGCGAAAAAATTTGAAGTAAGTGGGCGTACCATGGCACGGATTGTTCACGAAGACCTCAGGTAAAAGACAGCAGTTCTGTGGCAAATCATACATAAATGCGTTCGCGGACTCTCTCAGTTGGTTATTGCACTGAAGCGAATCGTGAGAAGAAAACTAATGAAATAAGCGATCGTTTATTAACTAAAACGAAGGTTTTTTAATTTTATAAATTTTTGATCAAATGATGTTTTAGCTAGGATGTTTGCTTGAGGCCGCTGAAACTATTAATATCAATAGCATAATATAATTACTATTTAGTGTTTATGTGAGCATTATATTTCTGAAGTGCCCTTTAAAATTAGAAGTTTTATTTTTGTTTTTATCATACATACTTTTGCTCCACAGGAGGAATTTGCTAGTCGTCTGGCGAATTAATATTACGTTGTAATACCTTCTCTGCTTTTTGTTCGAATTTAAAGTACAACAACGAATGTATCAACGATTTTTAAATACTTTGTCGACTTATTTCCTGTACCGCGCTGCCCCAACTGGATTAATTCGGTTACCTAGAGAGCTTATTTTTTTCGAAAGAACTATGGGTAGTTGTGAGCAGAGTTCGCCTCTACTTACATTTAATTTTCTAACGAGTTTTCCTAAATGCGCGCGTTTTTCTCGTTTGCTTCTTTTCAGGGAGCAAAGTATTCAAGCGAAGGCGTCTGGAACCACCAAGAAAGTGCCATTAGTTGAAGCCAAGGGTGGCCACCTTGAGACCAGAGTGGCTAAAACTAAGAGTGAAAAAGGCCGTGATAACACAGCGGATTGAAACGCTGTTTTAAAAGTTCGTTGTAAAACCGCAGGGTTGGTCGAGGAAGATTTGACTTCATCCTCTATGGCATATGGTGCGTTTCATCTAGCATACAGAAATTAGATTGAAATGAAAATTCCTATGCTGTGAAAATGTTCCCTTACTTCTAATATACCGTTCGAAAGCGCTCCTCTTATTTTAACAGCGTATTGTGACGGACGTTGTGAGAACGAACTCGAATGAACTCTTCAAAAATGGATGTCTAAGGTACAAAAAACTGTATCGTTGACATTTCCTGCACTATGTATTTCGTCGAGGCCAAAACAATGGTAACGATAAAATGAACTGTAGTCACACGACTGTCATTAAACGCCTGAAGTCCCATAGGTCGGCACGAAAACTTGGAGATTGAGTACCTCACGAACCCAACAGGGCTCAAAGCGATTTTTCGTTCCGCATAGAGCATCGCGCTAGCGATATAACCGTCTTTTGCACAGAATTGTCACCGGCAGTTAGAAGTGGACATTAACCTGTGATACCGGGAAATAACGTTCTGGAAAAGAAAGCCCAGAGTCCAATCAAATTTTTATCAAAAAAAAAAACTTAACGCTTTACATTTGATACGCTTTACATTTGATACGACCTGCAAGGTTCGGATTTACTAAAAATTGTTCTCTACGAACCAAACAGTTGATCTGCGTTTATTGGGCCCAGCTACATCGGGTGAACCAGGCCATTTGGAAGACAAAACCCGACAAATACGGTTAGATTGTTTTACTTCATTAGAATGAGTGGTCACACACGGTAAACATTGTCAAAGTTACCCTGTAGTTCCAATGGAAGGTGTTGTTGAACCCTCAATATTTTCCGAATTTAGCGCCGACATTTGCTTTTAACAAGGGCAATCACCTTTGTAGACCTTCAAATACAAGGTAAACTCTCTAAACACTTCCCTTAAAATGAACAAAAAAAAACACTCAAAAATTTACCTTCTTTTTGCGAATATTCTGCAATCTTTTTAAGGATCATCAGCTACCACGGTTTTTTGACTCTTCTAATTAGTCATAATCTTTTTGTGGCCAGAATAATTCGGTTTGTAGCTTCACGAGAATGAACAAATAGTTCCTACAATCTTTAATGTACAGATGAAGAGCACATTCTGATGGCGTTTCTAGCATTTTCAGCGCACATAAGTTTAAGGTTGTGAGAGCCTTGCTACCAGTTATGTTGAAAGACATAGTTCCCGGAATAATTCAGTGGCAACACGTTTGGCTATTAGCGGACAGGAAATGGAAATGGTCTAAATACTCTGATCCTCCATTAAAGATCTTTAAAGCAGTTGGAAAAGCCAATAACGTAATAATTCGTTCTTTCTCTCGGTCGCTCTTAATTGACTGTATTTAACTCTATGATACTCGGGGGTTTGTATAGATAGAGAAATGTATTGTGCAGCGCAAATAAACTTCAGACCTATAAAACATAGTTTAGTGGAATATATTGTTCAGAGCCACAGAACAGTATCCGCTTAATAACCTTATCTAATTAATGTCAGGTTTTCACATACAACACTTTTCAAATATAATAGTGGATATGGCCATTGCATTTCATCAATTATGTAGGTGTCGATTTGGACTAGGCACAAAGATGTTAACTTCATTGTCTCCTCCAATCATTTCAGAGCATCATGACTTCTCAGCGAACAAGTCAGACGAAGCTGTTTTCCAAAGGACCAGACGACAGGATTAAGGCAAATCTCTTTGGTTTGATAATTGTTTTAAACGACAATTTAGATTGAGTTCCAAACCACACAGCTTCCCGAGGCCATTGACTTGTCAAAGGCAATCAGTAACTTAGAGCGTACAAACCGAACATTAACTTTGTGATTCTTATCGACGATGTATCATATCTACTGCGCAGTCTCACATCTCGTGACAGCTGCGTATCGACTTCATCATTGGAACCCTGTATCACAGATAGCATTCGTTGTTCACGGTCTTTCTGAGGGTATAGTATTTGTTCTATATTTGTAGATGTATGAGTAGTTGAGAAAAAAGTTATTCTATGTGTATCGTACCAATTTTATTTATTAATAAGCGATCTCGCGGGTTGTGCAAATGATAACGACATCTGCAATACGATGTGTACCGTTGTATTTTGTAACGAAATGTAACAAAGATGTATATTGAGTGAACTTAACTTCTTTTCTTAAATACCACTGTAAGTTAGTTCATCATTTCATCACGAACGCATTAAACCTGAATAGCCATAGAAATAGGATAGTTGGGATTCTCAGAGACACATTGATTGAATAAGAAATTTTCACAAATAACGTGGAACCAGAAGTTCTTTTCTTGTCGGGCGATCTAGGATGTACACCTTATCGGTAATTCTATGGATCTAGCAGAATGTAATTAGGACAAGTTTCTATAATAATACTTACACATAATCTTTAATGAATACCCTTTGAATTTTTATAATATGGCATAAGAGACTGAACCCCAAATTATAACTCTTTAGGTATACTGATAATAAAATTAAGCGATCATAGAGCCAAACGTTTTAGTGAGGGTTTTTAGGTAAACAGTTATAATGGTGTTTTCCAAGTGTGTTTGCTACCGAAATGACTCACAGCGTTTGACGAAGCTCAACGCATGTGTAGGTGTAGTATGATAATTCTGCTAGAAGAAAAAAGCTAAACATCATCGTCAATAAATGACCGTCTGACGGTCCATTTTCCCGTGATGCTACCCTAATAGATCGAAACGGAATGGTTCATTTTTAGTCCAAAATGCCATGCTCTTGCCGTACCCACACATCTCTATTTAGATTTAGATTTATTCTCTATTCAGCTGTCTGACGGAACGCCTAACGGCAGAATCGGACGTAAAACTCAAACCATTTATGCTTCGTTTATTTATGTATATATATATATATATATATAAATACCGTAACGCCGTTAAATAAAAGCGCAAAATGGATGCACCGAAGGGAACCGTCTTTGCGTGCCATCCGCCGAAGTTGCTTGCGGTTGCCTCTGAAGGTAAGGAAGTTTTCTGTTAGCGAATCAGAATTCGCGCTTCCATACAAAACACTCCTCGTAAAAACTCGCTCGACCTGAGAGATCGGCATTTCATAGACCTACTAAGCAGAGGCAGCGTCACAAAACCGTTGGCGGCAGACGCTAGTAATGTTTCGCAAGCGAATTTTAAATAGTCGTGTTCGGGTCTTAACGCCCGACGGAGCTAATCTCCTGGCAGTGACCAGAATTGTTAAAAAAAGTCTGTTTCATAGTAGATTTTTTGGTAGCTCGTTTCACGTTTAACAAAAAAGCAATAGCAATGGCCATGTCAAAAAACTCGACTACAGTCATTTTTATGGATTTTTTTGAAACAATATTCGGACTTATATAGGGTCCACGAGTAGCACACAAAAGTTAATGTTGGGTCCATAACTTTGCACGGGCAAGTTTATCAAAGAGAAAATAAATCGGCCGTTAGAAAACTGCTACAACCATTTGTCTCACAAATGTTTCACTTCAAAGACCAAGCGTTACAGCCGTTCCCTCGAACATAACTAATAGAAGCATATCAAACCCAAATCAAAGACAAACGTTTCCCGTGGCTTTACACAATTTATTTAATGCCGACTATTTATTTTACTATTGTTATTCCGATTAGCTGATATTTTACAGTCTTCCCAAGAACCACTAACCGCTACTGTTTTTTAATCTTAGATTAGTCGTATTCTTCTTGTAGCCAGGTTTGCTGGACAAGAAAAATAGGGCACTTTCAGAGACCTTCAACGTCCGTATAGTGGGTCCATCCCTGAGAACTTGTGGACATCGGGGCAGGACAATGCAGGTTTTATCACCGATTATTTTTTAAGGTAAATTCCCCGCGACGGTGCAGTAATAATGTGTTGTTCTATTAATTGGACGGACACAGAAGCTATTAAATCTTGAATTTGGTATTAATTAATGCTTGAAAAAGATGTCCCTTTGCTACAATCATTAATGTTAAGCTCCATAATCACGCAACAAACACGTAAAACATCGTCGTTTTTGGAATTGAATAGATGAAACTGCTAAGTAAAAGATCCTCTAAAAACGTACCAAGACAACGCTCTTCAAGGACTTATTCGTTGTGGTACTAAATACCACATAATGCTATGATTTTATTAATATTCTACTTTCCTTTCATTAGAGCAATAGGGGGCGATAAAATACTGTGACATTAGCGTTTTATTATTGGTTTATTAGGTGCCGACGTGTGCCTGCAGAATGAATATCACTTGTTCTAGAGTTTTACCATGCTCTCAGAGTACATCTACAGACACTCGTTAACTCAAAATGCTCAAAATGGAACTTCTCTAGGAGCAGGTTTTTATGAAATTAGGTCCTCATAGCCCCTCGCCACGATCATCTAGTATGCCTACTAGATGCCCAAATTCGTCAAGCTTTCGCGTCCGTCAATCTTCTAGCAACTAGCACTCCTTAATAATGTAGAACATAAATACTATTCGTGTTGACTAGTGAAATAACCGCCACGCAGAGTGTCTTGTTGGGCGATACGTTGGAGTGGCAGAGACCTATACGTAAGGTTGAAATCCTTATTTTCCACACCTTTTTTTGCATTTGTACAAATGTAAACATTATTTGTATAAATAATTTATTGTTATGCTTTAGAAAGGTATTTTCATATGTACCAATAATAACTTATCGAACGATACTTAAAGCGATTCCTTTTGGGGGTCAATTGATTGTAGCGGCATCTGCAATACGATGCATGCCAGAGTGTCTTGTGACAAAATCTAAATAAATAAATCAATGCCATTATTTTGAAATATCATCAAGTAGTTACTATAGCCAGGTAATAATTTCTATTGCATAAACGAAGTTGGATCATCGGATTTTGTGTCTTTCCGAACGCGCCTCTGAAAGATTACGACAATAACAGAATTTTCTGTATTTAGTTGTATAGATTGATGCTAGATATGTCACAGATAGGGAAACAACGAAATATAAGGAGCTACCTTACTGGAAAACAACTGAAAAATTTAAAAAAAAAAGAACAAGTGTAAGCCATGTTAATCAATCTACTAATTCAACAAAGCGTTTGTATGATATTGTTTACAACTAATTTCTAGGACCATTAAGAAATTTGTAACTTTTTTTTGCAGTGCGCTCTAAAAGATTAACAAGTCAATCTAGCATGATGACGACGATGCTTAGATAAGCTCGAATTAGGGCCGAGTAGGATTCTGAAGTAAAACGGTTTTATTGAAGTTCCTTAACTTTGCTTACGAGCGAAGGAACCGTTAGAGCCAAAAGCGACTCCACACAGTTTTAAGCGCAGTATTACTATGCATACAAGAAGTCAGAGAAAACGTTACCTTTACTAAATAGGCAATAATCTGGGGCCGTTCTCCCGTAATGCCCATTTATCACACTCTTCACTTCAGCAACTTCGACGGGCCATTAAATTCAACAATGAAACGAGAAAATAAGTGGTTTGTTTAATTCAAGTCCAATATGACGTATTATTGATCACGCCCACGAAGTTGTATGCATAGACTTCGTAATGCCGTCGCATAATGGTACAAAAAGATGCCTCAGAGACAATAATTGTTACACGCTGCTTATTTAGACTGCCTTTAATCTATGCCTCGGTTGCTGAGCTTCCTGTTGGGTGCCATGTCTCTTTTGATACGTCGAGCGAAGGCCCGCACGGCTTAAAGCCCTAGTACTTAAATATTTTCTAGAAAAGGACCGTTCTGGAAAGTGGCTGTTAAAAACAGCTGTAGGGTTTTTAACAACTGTGTTTCACATTTTCGCACTCGACGTTTTTATTGAGCTAATCTCCTAGCGCAAACAAAGTGTATCGTGACTCTCATATTATATATATAATATGACAAAAACGGCGTGCTGTTCTAATAACTGTAGACCAGAATCTACAACGTTTGATAGGAAAGCGGCATATCGCAAACGCATGGAGATAATTGGTGGATCGATGGTTTTAACAATTTGCCTAAGAAGAAGATTATATAAGGCCGTATTGCAATATGGTCGGATGTTTTTCGAGGTTACGAGCCAATAATAAAGTCATATAGAATGGGGGAGGTTAGTGCCTAGATTTTTCTTATCTATTTCTTAGCCGTTTTACGTAATCAACTAAGCCTATTTTAATAGTTTTAAGACTCACTGAGAGTGTTCTTCCTGGTGCTTCATAAACGTTTTTGACAAATTTTGGCGGGCAGCTTGATATATTTGGGACGCGTACATCTTTGATCATAGGTATTAGAAAAAAAAAGACCGGCTTATTATGAGGGTAGGAGCTTCGTCTTTCGAAGGTGAGCAAATATTAGGTATTGTTCAATATCCTCACATTAGACTAACTCTCACTGCGAGCATTAACTTTCCTTTCTACACTGTATGGAGTTTTTAAATTTGTTATTTTTTTCAAACAGTTGCGCGCTTTTATTAATGCGCTCATTCGAAGCCCAGACTACTAGATGAAAACTCGTTCCGAAAATCATGTAAACAAGCCAACAGTCATGGCGAAAAAAAGTACTTCATCACCGGAATATGAGCGAAGATTAGCCATTGTCCAATGTCTTCACGCCGGGCGAACTCCGGCTGCAATCATTGATTTTTTCGGTTACCCGAGATCGACAGTGTACAATATAGCATTTAAGTACTGGGCTGCAAAAGATGAAAAGGAATGTATGAGCATAGCAAAGCGGAAGATTCACGACCGACAAAAAACAGCGCGGACTCCAAAGTTAATCGACGCCGTAGAAAAATATATTTTGGATGGTCCTTCCGTTTCACGGAGAACTTTAGCAAGAAAAGTTCGTGTGGATAAAGCTACCATCGCACGAATCATAAATGAAGATCTCAGGTAAAAGGTTTTTACGATTGAAGGTAGGCAATAGACGGCTGGTTGTCAGTAACAAATAGGTATTTGTTTTTGTTTATATATTTAGTCCGAATAGGAGCCGTTTACAGGGAATTAATTGAACTAATTATTGGTTAATAGTATAATTATGGTAACTATTAATATTATCGATAGCATGGTATAGATGTAAACATTTACATATATATCATAGCTCCAAGGTACTTTGTGGAATGAACGTAAGGTGTCCACTAAAAAGGGCTGTTAAATACATTAGACATACATATTTACTACTACACCAAGATATGTTCAAGTTTTACTAAGCTAGCTTTATACTGGAAACCAATTGCTTCCCAGTAGTTTTATAGTGATTTAAATTAAATACACACCCTTCTCTCGTTTATTGTTTCCAGGCAGCGGAGTACCCAAACGAGGAAACTTGAAGTCGCATCATTTAAGGTAGTAATCAGTAAAAATCATCACGTGAAAGCAGAAGCAAATAAGACTAAAAAGCAAAATGACTGCGATAAAACAACAGATTAAGCGCTATCTTAAGGTTGGCAATATCTCAGTAAAATCATTTGGTCGCAATATTTACGTCTCATAGTGCGTATAAGTTAGTCTTTAGCGTGGAGAGAGAGAGAGAGAGAGAGACGAGTTATTATGGAGTTATTTAAGAATATGTTTACGGAAAACGTATATAAATATATTACTAAGTAAAGACACATGTAAGGAGAGAGTTATATATTTTATGTCGACAGAAAATATTTTTTTTCTGTACGTAAAGGAGATTTGAAACCTATTTTTACATATTTTAGAATAACTTTATAAGGGTAAGCTGTAAAGTGGTAATTCAGGTACTATCAAAAAGCTTTCTGTGGGTACCACATGCCTTGTAAATAGCGAATTGTTATTTTCTTTAAATTTAATTGAAAACTATATATCAAATATTTTTTTTATGCGTTCAAGATTAAGCTTTTTTTATGGTATACGTTGTTTTACATGCTTTACTGCCGATGCAAAGGATTTGTTTTTATCCAAGTTTCACCTCCTAAACTTTATTTCGAGCCTTCCGCCCGGTACTACCGTTAGGCATTATTTTGCTCAGCATCGTAACAGCCACTAGCTGCTATTACCGTGTAAAACTCTTGATTAGTGATAATCTTCTTGCAGCTAGAATAATGGAATGTTTGTAGCTCTACGAAAACGGCGAATTTTAAGAACTGTTAGAAGAAAGCCTAGCTCTGATAATATGTTTTTTACAGACCTAGAATTAAGGCCGTACAGACCTTATGTACAGACTAAGACAGTTTTCTTGTAAGTGCATTCGGAGAAATCGTTGTATAACAGTGTGATGTCGTAATTGATTTTTGACTTTTTTTAAACGCACTTCTTGTTGAGATACGAGGTCCTCTTATACAATACTGTGGTTTTTGCTTTCTCTTGCATATATTCATTTAGAAGATTTTGCCGTGTAACCAAAAGGCAGATGATTTTCATCAGGGGAAGATATGAAGGACGTCGATCTCACCAAGCACTGAGCGCATTTCATTGAATGGCCATTTATCAAACATATTAAACAAAGCGTTTTTCAAAAGCAAAAACAGAGTAAATAAATTTGTATAAATGTAAACATTATTTGATATTTTAGCAATATGTTTCTTGACCGATGAGTAATGTCTTGTAACTTAATGTAAAATAGTTGTATAATAAATGAAAATCGCCATTGCTTTTCAACTTTACTCCATAATTATTGCAGTTAGTTAGTTCTTATTTTAACACAGCCGTTTTTGTTTGCGTGATAAGCGCGATTTTGTTTGAATTACAATGAAGGTACTGAGTGGCAAATTTGGTATTATCTCGCACAATATGGTACTGAGTTTTGCTAGTATTGTCGTTTGAAAGTTCTTGCCGACTTCTCTTTTTCGTTGGGCCTACTTACCTGGATGCGGCCGGACTATAGCCAATAATTTTAGCCCTAACAGAAGAATACGAAGGTGAAACAATCTTACTAATAGACGACAAACTGGGACCTTTTCTGCGTGATCTCATTTAGCGGATTTCCTATTTCAACAAACTTGGCATGTCTCTCATACTCGAAACAAGTTCTCGGGTTCGTTCCATGGCAACGTATGCGCCGCTACCCGCATACTTCGTGCTGATAGATGTTGTCATTCCGCCAAATTATGGCTCAAAGAGGTGCCTTGAAGAAAGGCACCTTTATATGTCACTTGTCAATACAGTTCTCTGCTAAATCAACCTGCTGGCACTTGTGATTCTATAACGATTCAGAATTTAATAGCCGCAGGTTATATACTACAACTCATGACCCAGTTGGAAAGCCGTAGATCATTTAGGTTAGCTATGTCCCAGAGTTAATCAAATCAGCAATAAAATCATCTTTGAATTGGGCTTAAACAATGCCGTTTATCACTTGATTTTGGAAGCTATTTGAGCACAGTTCACGTCCTTATACGCAGTGTTAAGTCAGATATAATGTCATTCCGGTGAGCTTTTTTGGAGTTTGGATGAATTTTCCTATCAGCGTCCTTTTAAATTGCAACCAATTACCTACTCAGTTACTTGAGTGTTAAGTTCAAATGCAGTACTCGTACGACAATACTATAGGGTGCATACTCCACATAATGGAAGCCCAAGACTTAAGGTTACTTTTTGCCTCCTATAGAATAGGTCAAGCGCATGTTCAACCTAGACGGGGTGACCTGCTTATGGAGAAAACTTTTTGCCGAACAAAAAAGCTATCGCCAAACGTCACAGTTCCACCACGCAAGAACTAAAAATGTTGAGGCCTTCACGTATTAGAACATCCATAGAAAGCGCTTAGTTCACTCTTTATAATGCTCACGACTGAAGTCGCTACTTTCACAGTTTCGAGGTTTCCTTGCTAAATTTCTCTCAGCTTTACTACACAGTCTCACTCTTCGGATGCTAAAGTATGCATTATAGCAAATAATTGATAATTGCAGTTATGCCTGATACAATCATCCAATTCTGGAGACTGGTCAACATGTTTTTGAAAGTAAAACTAGATGTTCATTAACTCAAGGATCAAGCAAGTCATTCAATCAGGGCATTTAAATATGCCCACGTGTTGTGCTGCGGATAGTATATGGGTTTCTCGGCGAAGTATATTCGCCCGAAAGGCATAATGCCTTGTCCATGGAAGCCCATCGTGTGGGACGCTATCGAATGTGTCACTCTATTCAGTAACTCTGAATGCCGGCGGTTAGAAAAGTAAGAGCTGTTGCAGGTTCAGCGCAATAACGCAAAGGATGAAAATATCAAGCGAACTGGAGAAGAGATTTTTAGCTCAATCGATAGCTATCGGAACGCTGAAGCTTTTTTATGCTCAAGCTATTCGTAATTTTATAATGCATAACACGTCAAGTTTACACATATTGATATGTAATGGCGGAAGGCAGACGTCGCTACTGAAGTTCCGTCAACGACACGTAAATACTACATAGTTTGTGGTATGGCCTAAGTAAAATAAATGATAATCATTTTAAACTTCTAGCAAATAACCTTAAATCGCTATCCGCGTTACTCCAAAACCCGTAATATAGTTTTTAAGCACTATGTATTTCCCACGCGAATCTCGTTCGCCTACACCGTGATAGTAATCATGGGAAGTTTTCCAATGCAGGTCGTCTCCCTACGACGTACCGTCGCAAAGTTGTTATCAGAAGTAGGCTATGTAGTTAAGAGACATTTTGGCGTAAAATCTATTCCTCTGAGCAATGCCTTCATCTGACAGCCGTGCATTCTAAGAGATACTGTTTCACATAGAACGTATCGATACAGAACAACATAGAGTAGGAAGTTCAATTCCGAATAATGATCAAAGAGGTAATTGCTATTGAATATTTCCGCGCTGAATGGACTCTGATCAAAACCACAGCGAAACTTGCAAGGACGTTCAACAGACGAAGGGATCACGGTAGCAAAAGTACCATACAAACCTCGAGACTTATCGAAGGGATTCAGAGGTATATTATGGACAATACTTTGATTTCGATAAACTCGTCAGTAGCTATGTTAGACGTGGTTTAAGTTATCGTGCCAGTAATCGTTCACGTCAAGTACGCCATTTAAATCAGGAGTGCTGAAACCAGCCCGAGAACCGGAGTCAGCTTGTGATAACCAGTAACAGATCTGAGGCCAAATATGTGTACATAAATATATGCGTTTACTGGGGTGTCTCAACAGATCTGATCTATAATAGAAGTGCGTATAATGTAAATGTGACTTGCGAAATAGCCGTTATTTAGTTGCAGTCACTAATTTGCTTTTTTGCTTAGGCCTTGATCTGTAGTTACAGCGTTGTCTTTTGTTTTGGATCGATTTAAAAAAGACATAAAATAGTTATATATATATATATATATAGCACATAAACGCTGAGATGTCTTTTAGAACTCCTCCGTGTTTTTCTTATATATTCACCGCAACTGAGCTAATTCGTCACATAAGAGTTCGCTGTGCCTCGGTTACCAATTTTAAGTTTAGTACCAACAATCTGTTTTGAATGTTCACTTTAGTCGAATTACTCGTCACAACGTACTTTCTTAATTCAGTCAGATTATTTAGTAGATCATTTAACTTTCATAAAATAGTACCTACCTAGTATTTACGTTTTTTAGTAATAATTGTTATTACCGAAGTACTGTCGTTTGAAGTAAAGACCCTCCACCTATTCGGAAGATTCCGGATGATTTGCTAT